CAAGAACTTGACAGCAATCAACAGATTCAAAGCAGTATTTCAAGTTAGCTGAAATTGCTAAGCAATCTCCAAAAGCAAATTTTATAGCTCAATCAAGTTTATATATGTGTGTATATAGAGTAAGATGTGAAATACGATATACTTCTATTACATTCCATAAGAAAATGCCTAATGGTCTATAAGGTCTTCTCAAGTGACGTAGAATGGTGGCTACAAAAGTAAATTGTGAACAAGCAAGTGTACACATTCAAGTCTTGCTCTGTTATGAATTCACTGGGTGACCTTTGGGAAACCATCTCTGCAGAACAAGAAATAGATAGGAAATGTGAATAATGGACAATTGGAATGGCTTCTGATTATGATTTTGAAATATGTGATTTTAATGTTAATATTAAGATGTTTTTTAATTCTGTGTTTAAATGTCTAAATGTTGCTAGGTTTCATATGGTTTTAATGATCTAATTTATAGTTAGTTATATGTCATAGTTTAGATATTATGCTTTGGTTTTTTATCTATGCTGGCATTGAATTTTGCCATTATTGTTGTTCACAACTTTGAGTCCCCTCAGGGATGAGAAAAGTGGTATATAAATGCAATAAATAAATAATAAATAATCTCTCAGAACTACTTCAGTAGCGTTGTTGTGTCATAATATGAGTTAGAATGAGGACATACATACATGTTGTAGGGACCTCTTACATCTAAGCACAAGGACATATTTTTACAGAAAGAGTCGACATATTTTGATTTAACTATTTGTGGCCCATCATAGTGTTTTCAATTATCAATGTCTATGTACAAATGTAAAAGCTGGACAGTGAAGAAATGCACTGAAAACAAACAAACAAACAAACAAACAGATCTGAAATATGGTGCTGGAGAAATATTCTATGAACTGTTAAAAAGACAACCCCAAAAAGTGAATACTGAAGTAAATCAGGTCTAGATTCTCTCAAAAAGCCAAGATGAGTGAATTGGGGCTATCCTATTGGGGACATATCATGGGAAGGCATGAATCACTGCAAAAGGAGTGGGGGAAAAGTAAAACGTCACAACAGGTGGCTGGACTCAATCAAGGAAGCCACAGCCCTCAGTTTCCAAAACCTGTGAGAGTTGTTGATGTCCAGAAACTATTGGGATGTCTCTTGTTCATAGGTTTGCCATAAATCAAACTCGTCAAATAGCAACTTATGCTTCATAAATCCTTTCTTTCACTGAGTTCTGTGACATGGCACAGAGAACTCAGGAAATGGAGCAACAGTTTCACGAAGCCCAACTCAATGCCTTGCTGATGCTGGCACCTTTTGAAGAAGCCAAATTGTATGAAAGAGACACCATCTTTCCTTCCCTCCCTAAATTCCTCTTATGAACTGGGCCTTTGCAGCAAACACAACCAGACCTTCCTTCTGTAAACCAATCTTCCTGTACACATGAGGACAACACAAGCAAATATATCTGAAGACAACACAAGCACATCTACCTAAAAGTGACAGCCTTCAGTTCACACATAAAACGTCAACAGCAAGAAAGGCTAAAAAAAATATTTAAGTGGGATGTGCCAAGTTTGTTTATCTGCTCCAACCAGAAACACAGAGATGTTCATTCCTTTCCTTTCCAAAAGCGCCACAACACCTATGACACCCTGGGCTGCACATGTGACACCTTCATGGCAACGGAGACTATTCTAGACTGGGAAACACTTCCAGCACAGTGAAACCACAAAATTACGGAGGAAACCATTTATACAGGTTCCTCTTTTCTGGAAATGTTTCTCTGCTACTGCAAATGAAGAGCAGAAGTGGATTCCTTTGGTTGGTTAATCTCATTCTGTTTGCTGAAAGCTCCTACTGCATACCAGACCTTATTTCACAGACTGAAACCCACCTGGACATAATGCAAGACTCATCACCTCTTGCTTGGCTGAGATGCCACATCTTCCCCATTACACAAGGTGCTTAAGAACCGCAACACTCAGACTATGATTAATTTGAACAGGTGCTTCTGGAATGGTTTCTCAACTGCAGTTCTGACTGATGTCCAGCACCTCTTGGGATGTCTCTCGTTCATAGGTTTGCCGTAAATCAAAGTCGGCAAATAGCAACCTATGCCCCATAAATCCTCCTTTCACTGAGTTCTGTGACATGGCACAGAGAACTCAGGAAATAGACCAACAGTTTCATAAAGCCCAACTCAATGCCTTGCTGATGCTGGCACCTTTGGAAGAAGCCAAATGGTATGAGAGAGACACCATCTCTCTTTCCTCCCCAAAATCTGGATGCTATTTTGTGTGTGTGTGTGTGCACGTTCTGGCAGTGCGTACAGTGGAGTCTCCTTCTCTACAGGTTGTCAAGCAGAGGCTGAATGACCATCTGTCAGGAATGCTTTGATGACACCTTTGGAAGAAGCCAAATGATATGACAGAGGCACCATATCTCCTTCCCTCCCCAAAATCTGGATGTTATTTCGTGTGTGTGTTTATGCCCTGGCAGTACGTGTGACGGTCTCCTTCTCTGTGAAGCAGAGGCTGGATGGCCATCTTACGGGAATGTTTTGACAGCTCCTTTGGAAGAAGTTAAATGGTATGAGAGACACCACCCAAAATCTGGATGTTATTTTGTGTGTATGTGTGTGTGTTTACACTCTGGAAGTGTGTGTGGCAGTCTCTTTGCAGGTTGTCAAGCAAAGGCTGGATGGCCATCTGTTGGGAATGCTTTGATGGTATGAGAGAGACACTATCTCTCCTTTCTTACTCAAAATCTGGATGTTACTGCATGTGTGTGTGTTTACACTTGGGCAGTGTGTGTGACAGTATCCTTCTCTGCCAGTTGCCAGGCAGAGGCTGGATGGCTATCTGTTGGGAATGCTTTCATAGAATTGGAAGAGACCTCATGGGCCATCCAGTCCAACCTCCTGCCAAGGAGCAGGAAAAAGGCATTCAAAGGATGTTGTCTGGGATTGTGTGTGTATTTACACTCTGGCAATGCATGTGGCAGAGTCTCGGGAATGCTTTAATGGCCGTTTCTGCATGACAAAGACAGGGTTGGACTGGATGGCCCTTTGGTAAAAGCCAAATGGTATGAGAGAAACACCACCTCTCCTTCCCTCCTCAAAATCAGGATGCTATTTTGTGTGTGTGTGTATGGCGGAGTCTTCGTCTCTGCAGGTTGTCAAGCAGAGGCTGGATGGCTATCTGTCGGGAATACTTTGATGGCATATTCCTGCATGACAGAAATAGGTTGGACTGAATGGCCCTTCAGTGTCCCTTCCAACCCAATGGTACTGTTGTGGAGTCTCTTGAGGGGGCATAACCCAGTGGGTCACAGTCTCACCTATAATGCCTCACCCTGCACTTCTGGCAGTGCATATGGCAGTCTCCTTCTCTGCAGGTTGACAAGCAAAGGCTGGGTGGCCATCTGTCAGGAATGCTTTGATGGAGCGTTCCTGCATGACAGAGACAGGGTTGCATGGTTGGCTCTTTGGTAAAAGCCAAATGGTATGGGAGAGACACGATATCTCCTTCCCTCCCCAAAATCTGGATGTTATTTCATGTGTGTGTTTACGCTCTGGCTCTGTATATGGAGGAGTCTTCTTCTCTACAGGTTGTCAAGAAGAGGCTGGATGGCAATCTGGCGGGAATGCTTTGATGGGACCTTTGGGAGAAGCCTAATGGTATGAGAGAGGCACCATCTCTCCTTCCCTTCCCAAAATCTGGATGTTATTTTGTGTGTGTGTGTTTATGCTCTTGCAGTGTGTATAGCGGAGTCTCCTTCTCTGCAGTTTGTCAAGCAGAGGTTGGATGGCCATCTGTTGGGAATGCTTTGATGACCCCTATGGAAGAAGCCAAATGGTATGAGAGAGACACCACCCAAAATCTGGATGTTATTTTGTGGGTATGGATGAGTGTTTACACCCTGGCAGTATGTGTGGTGGAGTCTCTTTGCAGGTTGTCAAGCAAAGACTGGATAGCCATCTGTCAGGAATGCTTTGATGGAGCGTCCTGCATGACAGAGACAGGGTTGGACCGGATAGCCCTTTCGTAAAAGCCAAATGGTATGAGAGAGACACCATCTCTCCTTCCCTCCTTGAAATCTGGATGTTATTTCATGTATGTGTGTGTGTGTGTGTGTGTGTGTATTTATGCTCTGGTAGTGTGCATGAAGGAGTCTTCTTCTCTACAGGTTGTCAACCAGAGGCTGGATGGCCATCTAGAGGGAATGCTTTGATGGCCCCTTTGGAAGAAGCCAAATGGTATGAGAGAGGCACTATCTCTCCTTCCCTCCCCCAAAATCTGGATGTTATTGTGTTTGTGTTTATGCTCTGGCAGTACATATGTCGGAGTCCCCTTCTCTGCAAGTTGTCAAACAGAGGTTGGATGGCCATCTGGTGAGAATGCTTTGATGGCTCTTTTGGAAAAAGCCAAATGCTATGAGAGAGAAATCACCCAAAATCTGGATGTTATTTTGTGGGTATGGGTGTGTGTTTACACTCTAGAAGTATGTGTGGTGGAGTCCCTTTGCAGGTTGTCAAGCAAAGGCTGGATGGCCATCTGTCAGGAATGCCTTGATGGCGCATTCCTGCATGACAGAAACGGGGCTGGACTGGATGGCCCTTCGGGGTCCCTTGCAAAGTGATGGTTGTTTGGTAGAGTCTCTTGAGGGGCCATAGCCCAGTGGGTCATAAGTCTCACTCACTGGGGAGCTGGCATGACGCCTTGGCGTGCACTTGTTATTAACTACAAGAAAGGAGATTCCACCTGAACATGAGGAAGAACTTCCTGACTGTGAGAGCGTTCAGCAGTGGAACTCTCTGCCCTGGAGTGTGGTGGAGGCTCCTTCTTTGGAAGCTTTTAAACAGAGGCTGGATGGCCATCTGTCAGGGGTGTTTTGAATGCAATATTCCTGCTTCTTGGCAGGGGGTTGGATTGGATGGCCCATGAGGTCTCTTCTAGAGTTGGGGTGCCCCCTCCTCCTACTCCCCCCCCCCTTGTCCAGTGACTCACCGGCGGTCTCTTCGCTCTGGGCGTTGTTCAGGTAGAGGATGGCGAGGAGGTGGGGCTGCGTCTTCTCCAGGGCCACCCGCAGGTCCTGGAAGTGGTCCCGATCCTTGGCCAGGAGCAGCTGGATGAGCAGGTTGGCCTTGGAGGAGGAGGAGGCGGCGGAGGAGGCGGCGGAGGAGGAAGAGGGGGACCTTTCCCTCCCGCCCTGTCCCTCCTCCTGGCCCTGGCCCTCTGCTTCGGGTTCCCCTTCTTGGCCTTCTTTGGGCCCGGCCCCCCGCAGCTGGAGCAGGTCCCTGGGGCTGAGGGCGCCCGCCGCCTCCAGCAGCTCGACCACCTGGTCCACCTCGGTCATGGCCTGGGCCAGGCTCTGGTGGCACTGGGCCAGCAGCTCTTTGTGCTTGGGCTCCATGGCAGCGGGGGAGAAGGCGGCTGCGAGGGGCCGAGCGGAGGAGGATGCTTTGTGTCGGGCGCCCCCTCCTCCTCCTCCTGCTTCCTTCCTTCCTTCCTTCCTTCCTCCTTCCTCCCTTCCCCGCAGCACAGGCCCCGCCCACTCCCTGCAATCAAAGGCGGGCGGGCGGGCGAGCAACTTTCCCTCAGGCCCCTTCCTCTCCTCCCCTCCGGGTTCGGGGGTATTATTGAAGGAGCAGAAGCCGAGGGGGGAGGAGGGAAGGCGCCGCCGAGGGCCAAGCGGGGCGGCAAAGCGGTCCAACTGTTGCTCCTCTTCCCTCACACTCCCAACAGGTCTTGCTTTCGGAAGGAGCCATCTTTCCTCGCTTTCCGCGGGTGCAAGGCTCGGCTCCCGAGAGGGAAGGGGAAGAGGGAGGCCCAACACGGCCGCTTCCCAGCCCTCAGGAAGACCTCCCCCTCCTCCTCCTCTCTCTCTTCAGCGCCTGGCTAACTTTCGCCGGCCCAACTGGCCGCCTCCTCTGTAGTCGCTGGCCCGGCGGGCCGTCAATCAAAAGCGGCTGGGCCAAGCAGGGGAGGAGGAGAAGGAGCAAGCCCCGCCTCTCTCCGCGAGCTGCTGGGCCCCGGTAGACGCCGCCCTCGCGCCCAGGGTCTGGCTCGAGACTCGCCTTGGCTCGCGCGCGCAAGGCAAGCTGCCAGCTGTCATCATCATCATCATAATGCCAGGATTATTTATTTATTTGTTTGCCATATTGATACCCCGCCTTTCTCTGCCCCACCAGGGGGACTCAAGGCGGCTTACTATGGCACATACACAGTGCTTCCAAACAACAAATACACCTAAACATAGTTTTAAATTACATTTATCGGAAAGTAAGATTACAAGATATTATATATATATGTGTGTGTGTGTGTGTGTGTGTGTGTGTGTGTGTGTATACACACACACACACACACAGCGATTCATGGCAGGGGACCGCTATATATATATACATACTAGCAGGGGACCGCTAGTGTGTGTGTATATGTATACACACACACACATACAGCGATTCATGGCAGGGGACCGCTATATATATATACATACTAGCAGGGGACCGCTAGTGTGTGTGTGTGTGTATATATATGTATACACACACACACACACATACAGCGATTCATGGCAGGGGACCGCTATATATATATACTAGCAGGGGACCGCTAGTGTGTGTGTGTGTGTGTGTATGTATACACACACACACACATACAGCGATTCATGGCAGGGGACCGCTATATATATATACATACTAGCAGGGGACCGCTAGTGTGTGTGTATGTGTGTGTGTGTATATGTATACACACACACACACATACAGCGATTCATGGCAGGGGACCGCTATATATATATACATACTAGCAGGGGACCGCTAGTGTGTGTGTGTGTGTATATATATGTATACACACACACACACACATACAGCGATTCATGGCAGGGGACCGCTATATATATATACTAGCAGGGGACCGCTAGTATGTATGTTTGTGTGTGTGTGTGTGTGTGTGTATACACACACACACATACAGCGATTCATGGCAGGGGACCGCTATATATATATATATATATATATACATACATACATACATACTAGCGGGGGACCGCTAGTGTGTGTGTGTGTGTGTGTGTGTGTGTGTGTATATATACACACACACACACATACACTAGCGGTCCCCTGCCATGAATCGCTGTGGCCCAGTCTGGTGATCTGGAAAATAAAGTAATGAGAAAGTGTTGGTTTCTAAAATATGCAATGTCTTTATGCTTGTGAGTAAACAGTATTTCTTGCTTTGTCGAAGGCGTTCATGGCCGGAATCACTCGGTTGTTGTAGGTTTTTTCGGGCTATATGGCCATGGTCTAGAGGCATTCTCTCCTGACGTTTCGCCTGCATCTATGGCAAGCATCCTCAGAGGTAGTGAGGTCTGTTGGAACTAGGAAAAGGGGTTTATATATCTGTGGAATGACCAGGGTGGGACAAAGGACTCTTGTCTGCTGGAGCTAGGTGTGAATGTTTCAACTGACCTTCTTGATTAGCAGTTGATTGCCTGGCAGTGCCTGGAGCAATCTTTTGTTGAGAGGTGATTAGATGTCCTTGTTTGTTTCCTCTCTGTTGTTGTGCTGTTGTAATTTTAGAGTTTTTTAATACTGGTAGCCAGATTTTGTTCATTTTCATGGTTTCCTCCTTTCTGTTGAAATTGTCCACATGCTTGTGGATTTCAATGGCTTCTCTGTGTAGTCTGACATGGTGGTTGTGAGAGTGGTCCATGCAGCTGTGACCAAGTCTACATAGGGACCACCAAACGCAGCGCCCAAACACGAATCAAGGAACATGAAAGGCACTGCAGACTACTCCAACCAGAGAAGTCAGCAGAGCACCTGATGAATCAACCTGGACACAGCATTTTATTTGAGAACACAGAAATGCTGGGCCACTCTCTATGGCAAGCATCCTAGAGGTTGTGAGGTCTGTTGGAAACTAGGTAAGTGAGGTTTAAATATCTGGAATGTCCAGGATAGAGAAAGAATGGAGGCAAGTCTGAATGTTGCAATTGTCCACCTTGATTAGCATTTAATGGTCTTGCAGCTTTAAAACCTGTCTGGTTGCTACCTGGGGGAATCCTTTGTTGGGAGATGACTAGCTGGCCCTGCTTGAGGCAGTAAGAAAATCCAACAAATGCTACGTTCAGCAAAGGACAAGAGGGATCCTCTCACCCCTGCAAGAGTCTACCATATACCATGCAGCTGGACAAGTTTACATAGGGACCACCAAACGTAGCATTGCCCAGACACAAATCAAGGAACATGAAAGGCACTGCAGACCAGAGAAGTCAGCCAACTTGGATAAACATATTATTTGGGAACACACAAATGCTGGACCACTCTAACAACTACCATCTCAGACTACACAGAGAAGCCACTGAAATCCAGAAGCATGTGGACAATTTCAACAGAAAGGAGAAAAACATGAAAATGAACAAAATATGGCTACCAATAATTTCAAAAAACTCTAAAATTAGGACAGTAAATAAAGAGGAACATTTAGAAAACAGGGGAATTCCAAACAAGAAGCAATCAGGGCCAGCTAACACCTCCCAACAAAGGGTTCCCTCAAGCAGCAACGAGCCAGGGCTGGGAACTGCAAGGCCATTAAATGCTAATCAAGGTGACAAATTGCAACATTCACACATGCCTCAAGCAGACAATAGTTTTTTCTCCCGCCCTGGTCATTCCACAGATACATAAACCTCACTTACTCAGTTTCCAACAGACCTCTCAATTTCTGAGGATGCCTGCCATAGATGTGAGTGAAATATCAGGAAAGAATGCTTCTGGAACATGGTCATACAGCCCGGGAAAATGCACAGCAACCAAGTGATTGCGATCATGAAAGTCTTCGACACATAAAATAGTGAATAGTAGAGACATCACACTGGCAATGAAGATCTGCATAGTTAAAGCAATGGTATTCCCTATAATAATCTATGGATGTGAGAGCTGGATCATAGGGAAGGCAGAGCAAAGGAAGAGGGACACTTTTGAACTGTGGTGTTGGGGGAAAATTCTGAGAGTGCCTTGGACCGCCATAAGATAAAATCCAGGAAAGAATTCCTGACTACTCACTAGAGGGAAGGATATTAGAGGCAAAGATGAAGTATTTTGGCCACATAATGAGAAGACAGGAAAGCTTGGAGAAGATAATGATGCTGGGGGAAATGGAAGGAAAAAGGAACGTGTGTTATATTTCAAAGAAGTAGCTAGCCATGTTCACCTCTTGCAGCATAAAACGGATAATGGATTTTAGTGTTTATGTTTGTTTATAGTTTATTTATGTTCCGGCATTGAATGTTTGCCATATATATGTTGTACTCTGCCCTGTGTCCCCTTCGGGGTGAGGAGGAATATAAATGTTTTAAATAATAATAACAATAATTTAAAAAGGTGGAAGAAAGGTGGAAGGAGAAAGAAATGTAGCAGCACCTCTAACCCTAACTTTAATTTTAACGTAAATTTCCTGGATATCAACCTTTTCCTTCAAATGCAATATAAATGATATTCAGGCATCAAGGTATAAAGCATATTTACAAAGTTGTAGGAGTGGGACAGAATTCAGCAGGATCCATAAAGATGCCAATCATGACCCTTTAAAATGTAGGACAAGGATTATGGTACATTCTTTTTCCTCCTTTCCCTTTCCTCCTTTTTATGATATGTCTTGCATTTCCTGTCACAAATTGACAGCATATGTATCAAGAATCTATCACAAGTAACAGAAAATATTCCATTATAAATCCATTAGAGAATAAAAAGTCAGTCCGGTTGATATTATTTGGTTTTGCTTACATAGATTTAAGAATATGTACGAGGGTCAGTAACCAGAGCATTTCTGTATCTAAGAATGTAAACGTTCAGCTACATCACACCATGTTTACATCTAGTCCAACATCCTGTTTCCAAAAGCCAATAAACATGGTAGAAAACAAATAACTCCCCTCCCTTGATTGTCCTGTGGAAATACTGAACACGGAAGTTCAACTTTGGGTCTCGATTCAGAGAGAAAAGTGGAAAACTAACAAATATACCAGTAAAAAGCAACATATGTCATGACTAATGTCTGCTGACAACTGGATGCATCTATACTATGGAAATAATGCAGGTTGACACTACTTTAACTGTCATGATACCATTCTATATAATCGGAAAGTTGTATTTTTATAAGGTTGTTAACTTACTCTGCAAAAAGTGCTGGTGCCTCACCGAACTACAACTCCCAGGATTCTATAATATTGAGCTGTGGCTGTTTACAGTGATGTCAAAGTGCACTAATTCTACGGTGTGGATGCACCCTCTATTGCCCATCTCTAATCCAAACGTTTTATTTTTTTAAAAATAACAAAAGATATTGTTTAACATCACATCTTGTAATGTTGGAATCTATCATTTAATTATGTAGAGAAGTAAATAATTTTGCCTTGTCCTGAATCTGCCAATTTCTTTGGGTTTCTGGGGATTTCTGCTAGATTTCATGTTGCAATTATAGCAGTATTAATTAATAGGTTCACTCTTAGTTAATGTTGCTATTCTGGGTGCTACAGGAAATATTTTAATCTAAATCAGGAAATATTTTAATCTAAAACAAGAACTCCTCTTAACTAAGGTTAGCAGTACTGCTCAATCTCAGATTGAGGTGACTGTAACATCAGTAATACTCAGTCCCACATAAAGTTATTTGACGTATCTGTAGTGTTTAGTCTCATTGCTCATACTGACAGTGTGTAAGTAGGACTTTCTAAGTCGGTGAGTTGTTCATTCATTTTAACTAATTAATTAGTCAAGGTAAAGGTTTTCCCTCAACATTAATTCTAGTTGATTCCACCTCTGAGGCGTGGTGCTCATCTCCATTTCTAAGCCAAAGAGCTGGCATTGTTCGTAGCCACCTCCTGGGCCATGTGGCCAGCATGACTGCATGGAGCAGTGTTACCTTCTTGCCGAAACTATACCTATTTTTC